CAGAAAAAATGTTTACAACTGTAGTAGCTTCGGTCGCGCTAGCTGGCAAATTATGGGGTCTCTAGCCTCTGTGCTACTGTAACCGACCCACATACAATTTTTTCTATTCTCCAAGCTGATATTCCAGGGAGCTTTTGTCCGAATTCGCATTGTAATGTGTGGGGGGAGCTCTGCGTGCCCCGCGGTAACCTGGTTGGCGGTTTACCGCCGGCACTCAGTTTTGCACCTGCCTGTTTCTCTTGGCTGTGCCGCTGGTCTCGTAGCAACGCTTGCGTCGCACATCGTGGCGTTTGTTGCGCGCTTCCAGTGCCCGCTGGTGCTCGTCGATACCGACCTCGCGGCGAATATTGCTGCTGCGCAAACTGGTCGCGTCCAGAGGACGCACCAAGGCAGATAGCTGCCCATGCTTGCCGTCGCGGCGCCGAACTGCTGATTGAACTGCCCTGTCGCGTGTCGCGGCGCGGCTGCATGCCGCTGTCGAAGAAATCGGGCCTGGTGGGGCCGATCCAGGATCTGCGTATGTGCATCCTGCCCAAGGAAAGCGGGCGCGTGCACCAATTTTGGATCCAGGGTCGAATGTCGCCCTTCGCCCCGCGATTTTCCAGGCGCGTTGGCGGCGGCAGACGGGGGCCGTCTTCGGGGAGTGGCCCGCGCGAGAGCCCGGGGACGAAGCGGGGGCGGCGCGTTCAGGCCCACACTCCGTCGCCCGCGCTCATTTCGTGGGCGAGCCTGGGGGGCAGCAGTGAAAAGGGGCAGGCCTTGTCCCCATGGCCGAGAAAATGGCCGTTCCCTTCCCACTTTTTTCCCCGCTCCCTGCCGCCGACATAGCCCAAAGACGAACAGAAACCGGCGTGCTCAAGCCAAACCCCGTGTGCTGACAGCGGCCCCCCAGCTGCTTCCCGCACCGAGCGGACAAGGGCCTGGCGCCAGGGCGCCGCGGCGAGGTGCTGCTTCTCCGTCGCGCGGATGCCCAGACGTGGGGTGGCGCGAAGCCGGCCGATGGTCTCGCACGGGCCGCGGGCCGCAGGCGGGAGCGTTTTCGGACGTGAGCCGCCCGTGGTTCCCTCCTGCCGCGCCATCCCCGAAAACAAGGGCGCCCTCGAGGGCGCGAAGTTTTCGCGCTTCGCGCTTCGCGGTTCGGCTCCGATTCCTCCTCGTCCTCCTCTTCTCCCCCGGGAGGCGGCGAGGGAGCGCGAAGTTATTCGCACTTCGCGCTTCGCGCAGCGCGAAGCGCGAAGTTGGGAGCCCTTAGAAAAGTGCACGGCAGGCTCGCGTTCGTGTCGACCGGCGGTGACCCCGCCGCCGGCGTGCATCGTTGAGCGCCGCTGGCGACCCAGAGTTCCAGGTTTCGGAAACGGCCGACCGTTCCAGGTTGAAGGATCCCTGCGGTGTCATCCACCAACGCAACAGTCGGCACGGAAGGAACCTGCCGCAGGACAGCGCCGCGTGCTCTGCGGCGTTGTCTGTCGAGCTTGGGCCGCGTCGGGCGCTCGTTGGGGCCATCTTGGCGGCCTCCCGGGGCCCCCTTTTTTTCTGCAGGCACCTCGAGAGCGGTTGGGGCTGCGGTGGCGGGTCGAGAGCTCCAGGGGCTCGCGGCTTGAAGTTATAGTCAGGAGGGACAAAAGCACACAGACACAATTAATCGTCGATTCTCCAGAAAATATGGAAATATATGGGAAGTGGGGGGGAAGACAAAAACCCACAAAACATTGGAAAATATGGGGAATCGTTTTATTTGTGTGTACTTATTTGTATGCTTGTGGGCCCCTTCATATAGGGCCGTCGAGGAGTGGGGTTGGGCACTCGAGAGCCTACAGAGGCCTTCCGCTCTGTGGCCATTGGTACGAGTCGCGGCGCTTTCTCGGCGTCGGGTGGAGACGTCGAGCACGCGGAGCCACGAGCAGGGCAGGCGGCTCGGGCGGCACACTTGGCACAGGGGGGCAGTCCGTGGAGCGGCGGTCTCGACTCTCGGGCGAACATTTTCCTACAAGTCTGCGTACTCCAGATTTCGTAATAGAAGGTAGGGGGTCTCAACCCTCCCAGACGAGAAGTTTTAGACCCCCCCCCCTGGGAGAACCCTCCAAAACATCGTCCCCAGACCCCCCCAGGCCCTCCAAGTTAGCTTGGAAGAGACCCCCCCCCGAAATGAGACCCCCCTCCCTTTATTACGAAATCTGGAGTACCGTCTCGATCTGGAGTGACATGGTACGTTCGACCTCGAAGAGGTATATATGTTTGACACAGTCTGAGCGTTGTCCTCTGACGTTCGATGTGCAGTGCTTCGCGCGCGTTTTCGCGGCGCTGCCTCTCACGTTCGATGTGTAAGGCTTTCCGTTTCTGTCCTCGAGGCGTCGAGTCAGACGATGGCATCGTCGTGCGCTGGATATTCCATCCCATATGTCAATGAAGGTACCGACAACAGGGAGCACCCTACGAGGACGGCATTCCTCGAGAGGTCGTGGACTCACCCCCGTGCGCGCGTGCGTGCGCACGCATGCAT